CATTTAATTGGGTTAATTCCCTATCCTCATTGCTCCATTCATTAAAAGGTACAGGAGTTTTCAATCCATTGACAGTTTTAAAAGGTGCAACATACCCATCATTCACTAAAATCCACATGCGATAATCAATAGACTGTAAAAAAGTAGACATTCTAATTTTCTAAAAATAAAACAGAATGTTATCAAAAAGTGGTGGACAGGTTATTGAATAACCCTCCACGGTGTTACCATTACCAAAATGCGACATGATCATTTTTTCAAGATTTTTTAAAACACTATTTTTGAAAATAGGCTCTGATACCAATTGAAATTATTAGATGGACAAGAGGGGGGTGAATTGTGAAAGTTTTATTGCAATAAAGAAAATCTAAACATGAGTTCTAATATTTTCGATATTATTTTTAAGGTTTTAACATGAAAATATAAAACAACTTCTAAAGCAAATGGGCAACAATAAAATCTTTTTATTTCACAATTTTTCCAAGTAAATATTATGACATAAAAATGTACGTAAGAATAAAAATAATAAGGAAAAAAGCAAATCGAGATTTTTATAGTAGTTCGATCAAACCATGACCTACGTCCACTCCCCGGAGTACTCCACTCTGGGAATTTCACTTCCAGCAAATAGCTCTCATTTTGCCCCCCTCGGCAAGGTGGAGATGCCTTTACAAAACTCCCTTTCACCAACCCGGCGTGGCGGAGTGCCAATCACTGTTTTCACCCTCCTAGTGACGGCAGAGAACCTTCTCATTTTTCTCCCTCCTGGAGAAGGCAGAGTACCTTCGAGGTTAGTGGACATAGATGAGTTTCCCCCATAGAAAGCCTCCCAAAAGTTCTTCCTGGGCCACAGGAGGAGCAAGTTGCAGCAAGATCGGAGCAAACGTGTGATCTCCCTCACACCTCTTCTCCCTCACCAAGCTCACCTTCTCCTACCTCTCTCAACCCCTCAAACTTCTCAAGAGCTCTCTCTAGGATTTTCTCTCTACTCACGTTTCTCTCTTTTTTCACTCTCTCTCAAAATACGACAAGTTTTTCACATAAAAATGGGCTCCAAAATCCCTGAGATTTTAAAGGTAGCCGTTACAATCGTACAGTATGATTATTGGTCGTATAGTACGATATGTACAAACTAGCTTCGTCCATTTATAAAGATGTACAAATAGTTCAAACACTAATCGTACTGTACAATAATATATCATACGGTATGATTCACAACACACTACTCGTACTGGACGATAGCCGGGATGATCAAAAGTCGTCTCTGTTCATCGTATGGAATGACATACATCGTACCGTACAAATAGTAAAAATCAAGGCATCGTATAGGACGAATTCCAGGACAATCAAATATCGTCTCTGTTCATTGTATGGTATGATTGTAATCATACAATATGATGAGACAAAAAACACAGGATCATTCAGGATGATCTCACGGACGATCAGAATTCGTCTCTGTTCATCGTATTGTACGAATGGGTTCGTACAGTATGATTTGAAAATTGTAATTAAGCCTTAATTTCTTGCACTAATCACGGGTTAAATTAAGTATGTATTTAAAATATACTGTATCGTACAAACGTCGTCGTATAGAACGAACGGCACAAAATATCATACTTGAAATATCATGACGGCTAGGGTTTTGGATTTGAAATAGATTATACCGTATGATAGTATACGTACAGTACGATGTGTTCATAGAACACATATTATAATAGTAGATCGTACAGTATGAAATAAATTTGTACAATATGATTACCAGAGAATGAAAAACTATATTTCTTACTTTTAAAAACCCTCTCCCCTATATGTGTGCATGATTATTCAGACTTAACTGCAGTTTATGGACAGACTCAAGAAAATAAAAAATAAAATAAATAAAAAAATACATTGTTCAACTCATATTCCTAATCCAACTAGTCTTGAGTCTTCCGATTGTGTTGAGTGGCTTGTGATCTTCCTGAAATGTTAGTACTCACGGACAATAGCAAACATTAAATGATATTCAATAAAAAGTAGTTTAGGCAACATTATTTGGCATCATCAAAATCTCAACATCAGGGTCATGGGTCGCACAATCTCCCCCTTTTCGATGATGTCAAATAATTTTTGTTGTTAGTAAGTTCGAAGGGCTTTTTTTTTTTTAAATAAGAACAAGAAAAATACTAAAGAGAAAATGCAATACGAAAGGAAATGCATTATATTTAACACAAATAAACTACAATATAAAGAAAACTACAACAAACTTCTCCCCCTTTTAACAGCACCAAAAAGAGGAGCAAACACTAAAGAAAGAAAAGTACAACACAACCACTTCAAAGGGAAGGATCCTGATCACTTGGTGGTGGAGGTGGGAGTGGCTGAAAGTAGTTAAGGATCGTGTCAAAATGTTGATCAATCGCATTGAACCGTTCCCCAAACCAGTGCATGTCAGTCTCATGTTACTGATGTTGCTCTTGAATGTGCGTATTGAGACGGGTCTGAAGTTGGTCGAAGCGTTTGACCAAATCATCGTGAGGGTAAGCTGGTGCAGGAGCTCGGGGTACTGCATGTCGTCGTGGTCGAGCTGAAGCTACTGCTGGGGCATTTCTCCTTCTTCTTCATCAAAGATGGGTTCTTCAGGCTCATGTCTCTTATGGAAAAGAATACGGAAAGAAGCGTGCATATAATAGATTGGAAGATTATCGAGTTCACCAGGATAGGTCAGTTGATATTTATTTTGAAGGATGTATCTTATAAGGTGAAGAAGAGCTATATTTTGTTTTAGGCGAGTAGTAGGGAGACAAACAAAGGTCATATGGCGAACGTAGTTAATAATTAAATTAGCCTCATCGAATTTTGTGTTGGTCATAATAAGATATGTAGTGGCAGATAGAGTCGGGGTCATGTTAACACGATCGCCAACTTTGGGTATAATTGAGGTTCTAAGGACGTGTTGAATGATTCTGGAGTTTCGAGTGAGTGATTCTACGAGAGGTTGGTGTTGATAAAATGTGATGTTCCTAAGGACTTGATTAACCTCACTCCAGTCAAAGTCATTCGTGAGAAATGAACGAACCATAGGCCCTTTAGTAGATAGCCCAATGTATTGGGCGATGTCGGCTTTTGTAATTTTGACATTTTGACAACAAACAAAGGAGTGAAAAATGAGATTGTCGACGGTGTAGGTTAGGTTTGCAAGGAATTCTAAAAGGAGTTAAGAGTTGTATGGGAAGGCCAGGGTGAGAAGGAACTGGAGGGTGGTGGAAGCAAAGAGGTTTAGTTCCTCGAAATTCAAGGCCTCCTGATTGAGCAGTCTGGATGTCATAATTTTGCATGCTTTGAACTTATGGTATGCATCCTCATTGTCAGCATTCAAGAACTGAGCACTGTGGCGGAGAGAGGAAGACGGGCTTCCCAAAACCATACGACCTCTCTTGCTTGAACTAGACATCGTGTAGAGGCTGAGTGAAAGGTGAGAAGGAACAAGTAGAGGTGAGTGAAGTAAGTTCTGCCTTGCCAGCCAATTTATAGAGTTGTTTAAAATATAATACAAAACGATAGGATATCGTTCAGTATGATATGGCATTAATTGTTCTGACAAATCGTATCGGGAAAAGGTGGTCAAAGCGTACAGTACGATGGGTATCGTACAGTACAATCAAAAGAATATCAATCGTCCCAAGGGTCGTCAGGAAAACTTTTGACCAAAAGTTTCATACTATATGAACAGGTGTATCGTATAGTATGAATGACAATTATATCGTACTAAAACCCTTTAATGTCGTTCTCATCCGTTTGCTGAGGTGGATCGTATAGTACGAATGCAAGTATCGTATAGTATGAACACCAATAATAACGTACCCAATAGAGTTAATTCATCCCAATCTATTTAGTGATGTGGATCGTACCCTACGAAGGGATGTATCGTGCAGTACGATGAGTAATAATGTCGTACCAGACGGGTTAAATGCCTACCCGCTGTATCGTACTGTACAATTGTGGTCGTACGATACGATCAACAGAGGTGAATTTGCTGGTGGTTGTGTTTTTTGTCAATCAAGATATATCGTACAGTACGATAATAGTATCGTACAGTATGATAAAATGTTAAATTCAATTTTTTTTTTTTTGTAGTGGGTGTGTGATGATTAGGAGTAGCCTTAGAATAAATTTTTTTGTATATATATATATATATATATATATATATATGACATCTAATCTAGTCCTCAAGGTGCTAAAGGTGTCAAATGCTAGTGTTTGGGGAATATGTCAGCCAATTGATCTCCTGTAGCGATGTGATGCAATTCCATATCTCCCTTTGTTGCAACCCATGACCCCGAGTTTGAGAATTTGATGATGACAAATAATGTCGTTTGAATCATCTATTCATTGAATATTATTTTATTTATTATTGTCTGTGAGTACTAACATTTTAGAAAGATTAAAAGCTACTCAGGACGACATGAAGACTCAAGAATGGGTAGATTAGGAGTATGAGTCTGCAATATATTTTTTTTTTTTTTTATTTTTTTGAGTCTGGCCACAAAATACATAAAAGTCTGAGTAACTATGCACACACACAGGGGGAAAGTGTTTTTAAATGAAAAATTTAAAGTTTTCTTTCTCTGTAGATCGTACTGTACAATATTATTTCGTACCATACAAGTAGAGCTTTGTAGGATGATTCTGTGAATAGATCGTACCGTATGAATGTATTCGTACTGTATGATATTGTTGGTGGAATTTTGAAAAACATATTTTAAAAATATTAGTTTTCTTTGGGGATTTTAAAATTAAGGTTGAGCTCTAATTCTAAGGTCGAATCAACTCGTTAGAAAGAGTATATCACCCCGGGGGACAAAGATAAACTTTCATAACATGGTTCAGACTTAAAACTATGTAAACTCATCTTGAATATTATGATCGGGTCTAAAGAGAACTTCATATGGCCCCGAAGGGACAAAGCAGAGTTCAGCTAAATACCCAATTACAATATTCAAGAAGTATGATCGTCGCATTCACATCCAAAGCCTTATCGACAAATTTACAGCCGAGTCTGTTCCAGCAGTCTGTATGTATTTATCTTATTAATGAGCAACTACTAAGTAGCCTGTACCTGAACCATAATGAAGAGGGGAGCGGGAAAGAGGCAAACAAAAAGGTTGAATACATAAATAAACGGGTAGGTACCAATATAAGATCATCATACTCAGGGTTGTAGCGAACAGCCCATGTCCTAAAAATTATAGTGAACTCAACCTTGGTCAGAAAATAATAAAAATAAACAGGAAAGGTAAGAGATAAAACAAGTTCAATTTCTTAAACTGTGCATCACATTCAAGAGGAAACAAAACAAAATCAGCCATCATATGAATGTAAGGAAAAGAGAACTGTTATGCAAATCAGTTATGTGAACTCTTTAGTCTTTCAAAATAGACTATATTTGTAGTCTTACAGTAAAATAAGATGAAGTACCAATGTACATGCCCAGGAAGCTCAGCCATAGGAAACTTGGGCTTTCGGAGATCCCAAATACGAATCCCTGATTCATCCTCTGCAGTGACCTGCAATATTGAACAGACTTGGAGCATATAAGCAAATCAAAGATATGAAACTATATTGAACTTGAGATTGTTATAGAAATGAAAATTGTTTTCTAAGAATTAAATTAGAGAAGGTTTAATATCCAATGATACTTTAACCCAAAAACCAAGTGGATTTGACAGCTAAGGCAATCCAGGATAAGGTTTTATCTTCTGGTTTGCAATTTTAAGAATACAGTCCAAACTGCATCCAGTAAAATTTCAATAATGTAACATACCATATAAAGCAAAAGACAACCTTCCTGCATGGTGTAGGAAGATTCAGGGCCTAGAATGTTTAAACATGCAATGTTGAAAACAATGTAACAAGCATGCAAATTTTGCAAAAAAGCTATTAAGCCTAACCAGTTATTCCCTACCTTAGATGAAAAGTAAAAGTAGACTGAAATCCAATTCTGCTAGAAAATTAGCCTCTACTTGAAATTACTAGCTATAATTAAAGATCATGAAACTATAAATGCGAATAAACTTCCATGCAATTAAAAAAATCTAGATTGTAGTTAATTTGACTAAACGCAATATCAGTTTCAATCAATAAAGAAAAACATAGAGAAGAAAGAAAAAAAAGAAAGAGGATGAAACAACCAGAAAAGAAAGCCTCATGATATACTAGGACAACCTCATTGGAATTCATAAAATCATTCAATTGATCAAAGCTCAAAATTCTGAAATAGAAAGCAGCTTTTCCAAATTCACAAATAAAAATCATGATAGAAATAATGACTCAAAATTTTCATATATATGATTGAAATAACAAACTATTAACGAACTGCTAACATGCATGAAAGTTAATGAAAATAATCTAATTGAAAACTTAACCATCATGACAAAGAAAAAAATTAGATTTGCAAATAAACTATCATGGTCATAATAATGCATAATATTAGGATAAAATATAAAACTTTAGAGCTTAAGATCTAAGAAATATTTTATTTATAAGTATCATGCTAAACAAACACTAACTAATAATTCTTAGAATCATTATGATTGTCATACACCAAGATGATCTTGCCCATCATTATGATCGTCAAAATCATAATCTTCTTCACCCTCATTATTTTTATGACATATGCAAGTATAGCAGGCCTAAATGAAGATCCATTTTTTTCCCCTTTAGATTGACATCAAATGTTGTAGATTCTTCCATACTACTAGCTCTCAAAACGAATGATAATCAAAGCAACTTAAAAAATAAACAAGAAACTAAGCCAATAAAATAATTTGTTGAATGCATTATGCGCTATGACATTTTAATGCACATAGAACACACTATTTTGTCCACATGTGCCTTGTTCTAACAATAACCTGAGAGAGCCGTATCTCTATGCTACAAGTAGTGCATACTATTTTGCGTAATAGAAAAATATCAATAAGATATATGTCAAATGCACGAAATTAATATCCCTCCAAATTATAAAATCTTGGATGGATTAGAAATATTTATTATCACTGTGTGGTGAAACCAATAGGTTAACACATAATAACTCTATTCCTGTGCATGCCAAATAAACAGTATAAATGATTCATATTTAAAGGAAAATAAGCAATTCAAGCATTAATCATAGCTTCCTTAGACTATAAGGTTCATGAGCTGGGATATTTTCCACAATTTTTATCCCTTATCTTTCTTAGTTCTCTAATCTCGCCATAATTATTTTTTTTTCCATTTAAATGAGCATGTAGCAACATACTTTCCCATGTCAAACTACTCCTGTTTCAATTTATTTCCACTCTCTTTCTCTTCCCAAGGCCTTTCCACACTAGCCATCAACTCTCCCTCCCCCTCCTCTCCATCCATATCTTACTCTTTGTTCTCCACTTGCACATCAAAAATTCTTTTTTTTTTTATTTTTGTTGTTTGAAGAGCCTTATGGATAATGATTCCACATTTAGCTTCACTTACTCCCACAAATTAGAATTGGAGATGAGCAAAAGCCCTTTTTCTGCACACCATTTATCTTGCTTGCTATTTTGATGCTTCCTAACTTCCTTGAACGCTTCCTTAAAATTACTTCTAATGGAAGTGGCCTTCTTCTCTGTAGGCAACTTCGTGTAAAGGGGCCCTAATGAATTACATTTCAAATTCTCTACAAATAAGAACTACTTTTTTAGCTCTTCATTGTTTGCCCAGGAAAGGAAATGTTGCACTACGACACGAATCCTGCTTTCGCAAGCTTAAGGTCCCATTTTCCCTGAGATAGATTGGAATTTAAATTAACCAAATTTTCTCTGATGAACAGCATCAAGGTTTATTTAGTTGTGAGGTTCCACTTCCTATGAGCGTAAGCCCTATGATAGGAAACTGATAGGAAATACTTGTTTGCACAAGCAAATCCACCCCAGATCAAGCACTACAGCAGGGAAACTGCTGTTCACAGCAGTAATTCAGCCGAAAACAGTGAAAAATAAAGGAAAACTGAGAGAGAACTTGTAGGAAAATCAATAGAGCACTTGTATTTCACTAGTAGAATCAAGAACACAAGCAAAGATACAATTGATCCTCAATTCGAGAGGAGGATCGATCTCTCCCAAATCTCTGGCAACGCCAAGAACCCAAAGAAAACCTAAATCTAAGAGATCTCAAATTTCAGCCAAATTCAAGATACTCAAACCCTAGGAAAATCAACTATTTAATGCATACAAATCAAAAGGAATTCCCTAAACAGTCCCTACATTCAAATTTCCCTCTTAACTCCCCAAAATTTCTTTCCTATTTGGCTCCCGCACACTGTGCGGCTCGCTCGGCATCCCAGCGAGCGGAAGTTTTTCCGCCCTGTTCTTGTCTGAGCCGGTCCCGCCTGGACCGACTGGACCAGTCCACTGGACTGGTCTAACAGAAACGCTAGTAGGTTTCAAGCGTTACGTATCAAATTGGGGAAATCAGCGAGAAAACTCCACCCAAACTCCAAGAAAAAACAAAAAATAGTAGATATTTTTGTATTATTGGATGAAAGGAATCTGAAAATACCAACATACAATTGATCATCTATTCGAGTGGAGGATCTAGCTCTCCCAATTCTCTAGACGCCGCTAGAGCCCAAGAAGCCAAGCACCAAAACAGAAATCAGCCACCAAAAGCATGCCCTAACCCAAATGCAAACATCTACTTAAAGCAAATAACAAAGTAATTCAAAAGAACTAAACAACACCCTATACAAACTCCATTAGGTAGTGGACCCCACCCCAAGGGGGCGAAAATTGCAGCCTGCTGCATAATATATGAGCCGTCCCAAGGGTTGGGTAGCTGGACCAGTCCCTCATGGACTGGTCCAGGTGTATCAATACCTTGCTCCCAAAAAACCACCCTGTCCTCAAAGTGGAAAGATGAAAACTGATGTTTCACCCTCTTGTAAGGCTCCCATGTAGCATCATAATCGGAAAGGTCCCTCCACTTGATCAACACCTCTTAAATTCCTCTCTCGACTTGGCGCACCCCTTGGAGATCCAGGATCTCTAATACCACTTCCAAATCTTCAATCAACAATGCTGGCAGCTCTGAACTCACTGTGTGATCCCCCACAGCTCTCTTCAACTAAGATACATGAAACACCAGATGTATGGTGGCAGGCAACCTTAAACGTACGCCACTGCTCTGATTCTCTCTAGTATCTCATAATTGCCAAAATAACTTGGAGCTAGCTTCTCATTCCTATGAGTGATCGTCCTCTGTCTGTACAGTCAAAGCTTTATGAACACCCTATCCCCCACTTCGAACTGGATGCCCTTCCTATGCTCGTCCACCCATGTCTTAATAATCTATCGAGCTCTCAACAGATGTTTTTTTACAACACCCAGTACTGCTCCTCCAAATATTCCTCTACTAACGAAATTGGAGTGCTACTCTGCCCAAAATATACTATGTGAGGTGGATCTCATTCATATAACACTTTGAATGGGGTCATCTGGAAGGCAGGGTGATACGAAGTGTTGTACCAGTACTCCGCTCATACTAGCCACTTGGCCCACATCCTAGGTGTCTCCGACACAAAGCATCGTAGGTAGGTCTCCAAGCTCCTATTTACCACCTCGGTAAGCCCATCTATCAATGGGTGTTAAGTAGTGCTCATCTTCAATACCGTCCCCTGTAACCTGAACAACTACCTCCAAAACTGGCTGAGAAATACCTTATCCCTCTCGAATACTACAAAATCAGGTATCCCATGCAATCTAACAACCTCTCTGACGAATGCTGCTACAGATGTCGCTGCAATGTAAGGTGTCGTAGGGAAATGAAGTGAGCATACTTGCTCAATCTATCCACCACCATTAGAATCAATGTAAACCCTTCTGATCGAGGTAACCCATCTATAAATCCATGGAAACCTCCTCTACACCCAATCTGATAGAGCTAAGGGCTGCAATAATCCTCCTGAAGCCATGGCCATGTACTTGTTACTCTAACAAATCTAACAACTGGCTGCAAACTCCTCCACATTCTTGTGCATCCCCTTCCAATACAACTCTGCAACGAGTTTCCTGTATGTCTTTTGTACTCCCATCCTTCTAGAGAATAGCCAAGGTGACAACTTTCATCCTTCAATAAATCTGCCATAATCCTCCCCAGCTCTTCATCCCGCGCACTCTCCTCCTTAGTGCCTCCCAATCCAGTATCAATGGTATCGACATAGCCGTCTCTTGTAGCTCCCTCATACATCTAAACAAAGCATCCGCTATCTTATTCTCTATCCTTGGTCTGTACTGGATTTCAAAGCCATATCCCAATAACTTAAACAGTCATCTCTGATGTTCCTCTGTAGCATCCTCTACTCCAACAAGTACTTTAGATTTCGCTGATTCGTCCTGACAGTGAAATGTCGACCCAACAAATAAGATCGCCACTTCTGGATGACTTTATCCCCATGAATATTGAACATATAATGACACATTACTCAAATTCCTTGAGTGCATATCAAGGTGAAGGCATGATTAATATAATACAAATAACTCTCTTTCAACACCTCAGTTGATTTTCAAGGATAAAACATGCATGCAATTAACCTAAAATGCCTGATATCCTAATGGATAAACAAGAGGGAACCAAATTTCAATCTTCAAGGGGATTGCCAAGGCCTACAATGGCAGATGCGGCAAGGTGACCAATGTAGTCTACCTCAGATCAGGTGACACAAGTTTTGATCAAATGTTCGGCTTTACATTTGTATAAGCTTTTCAAAATCATTTACAATGAATATTCACTTGAGGGATACCTCATCTATGGATGGGCTATAACACCCATTGTGCTGCTCTTCTCAATTTGTGACCTATACATAAGCTCCTCTAATATCAGAGGCCAAAGGCCTACGTCATGTGCCTCCCTACACTCAAATTATTAAGTCTAGATCACCGGGTATTTCCAATAGCAAAGTTTGAGCGTTAAAGTCTAATCATAAGTCATATCATTATAAATGCACAAACTACTTGGCCACCTAGCCTATATGACAAGTAAAGGCTCCTAAAAATTTTTAATTTCAAATGAAAATGAAATCACTCAAACCCATTTATATCAAACCCTACAAATGGAACAAACGATAGCTGTGGACAGAGATGGACACTTTGCTAGGGCCACAAGCCCAAAGAGGGCAGCAGCCGTGAAACCACATTTGAGCCTACACAATGGGTTAGATAAGGGATAACATAGCCCAAACCACCGGTTAGAGTTAACATGTTCAAGTTAGCCCAAACAGACTAACCAACCTTCCAAGTCATGATGTTGACAAAGTCTTTACTTGACATTTTCAAAGTAGTTGTAATAATCTTGATTCAATAGGTTCTTTGTGAGATAATAAGTCAATTGTATCAAATGTAAATCAGCAACAATTTGAAGAAAGAAAAACAGATTACTAGAACAAATCGAACATTTACCTATACTATCACAAGAAGCATTCCCAATTATATCTACAAAACCAATCTATATAAAATTTTGCACATTTCATGCAAAAAGTGAAGAAGGTTTTCTTCAGAAGATGCTTAAATACTCACAATTATATGCTGCTTCTTGGGGTTATAATCAACGTCTCTGAAATGTGCATTCTCAATTGAATTTGCCTTCCTAAGAAAGAAGCATGGACAATTTTGTTGGTACCATGAAATCAATGTGAGGAAGACATCAACTGAAGGGAAAAACAATGTATCATATCAATATTTTGTAGTTCCAGTTTATGCATCCCTAAATATCCTTCAAAATAATTTTAATCACGTCCACATGATTGGCTACAAATCAAAGGCTTAAAATATAAGGAAATATTATTGAGATTTGGATATAAATAAATCATCCATCAGAATAATTACCGGAAAACCTGCATATTTATGGCAGTAATTAAAAGTAATGCAATTGCTAAAGCTTTAAAAGACCAATTAACTGTAAATATAATGTACTTCATTTTCTAAGATTGTCAAGTAAGAGTAAGTGGGCCTATAATTCAACAAGCATAAAGAAGCTATTCTGTACAGAACATGATGAGACATCAGCAGGAGATTATGGCGCGTCTATCATCGGAGGAATCGTAGATCGACGGCTACGAATATGAGTCTTTATTTATGATGCATTCCATGTATTATTTTATTTATGTTTGAGTCTTTACCATTGTACCCCTGTGATGGATTAATTTGTGTTGTAGCCCCGATGGCATTTGAGTCTTTGTATTTTTCTTTTGCTTTGAGGCCTATATATGAGGGCCCTCACTATTGTATGAGAATAATTGATGAACGAAATTCTTGCTTTCTTGTTCCATTGAGTGTTGAGAGCTCTAGTGAGAGGTAAAGTCCCTAGGTGAGGGCAAAGCAACTCCCGCTAGCTGCAGGACGAGTCCGGCTCTCGATTTTCCATCCCCTACCTTTCCTCCCACTTTTCTCCTTCCCTAGCCGCTGGCCTCATTCTCACCTTCCTCCAAAATAGTCGGCCTCCCCCTCCTCCTCAAATTGTCGGCTTCCTTCCCCAGTTTCCCTTTCCACCTCAAGCCACCGGCCCCCCTCCCCATGCCACCCAAACCTACGGCCCCAAGCCTCACTGGAAACCCTTTCCCCCACCGAACCCCAAGATCTGGCCCCTCCCCTAACCGCCAGCCTACCTACCCTCACACCCTAGCCGCCGGCCTACCCTCACACCCTAGCCGCCGGCCTACCTACCCTCTCACCCTAGCCGTCGGCCTACCTACCCTCTCACCCTAGCCGTCGGCCCACTCCTCCACAAGTCCCTTGTTTCAAAATCAGATTGCCTCTTAAATACCTTCCTAATTTATCCAATTATCAATTTGTAAAGTCCCTTAATTTGAATTCAAATAGATTTGAATTCAAAACCTTTCCTAATATATAAATCTATTTTAGGAAGCTCCCTTAATCACTCACAATCTGAAATTAATTTGAATTTAATTCCAAATCCCACATTCATTGCATGTAGACACATTCGTTGAATGTGGACACCCTTTCCCACCCTCCTTTGGCCAGCCCCCCCTATCCCTCTCTCTCGCTTAATTAATTTTTCCCATTAATGCTCTCAATCAAAGCCCCTCCCATCTAGGTATATATGCCGCCCCACCCTAGCTCAATTGGAGGAAATTCAAATTTTGAATTATTCCCTCCTTGAAATCTAAAATTAAATTTCAGATTTTTAAATTATTTGTCCCCCGCCAACATAAACCTAAAATCTAAAATTAAAGTGGCCCCACCCCTAGCCTTAGCCGACCACCCAAACCTCTCCCTCCTCCTCTCCGTCTCTTCTCCCTTGCTTCATACACCATCCAAGGAAGAAGAAACACAACTCCGACCTAAGTCCCCATGAATGGCCAATCCTGAACAAGACCATGGGTTCGTATACGATCATCAGGGATGAGTAGATGTGTTGAGATCACCCTTTTTCGACATCAACTTGGAGATCAACCACACTGTCGAAGACTACGTTGATCAGATCCTCATCACTTTAATGACCGCCATCGGCGAGCATCAAACCTCTGGGCAGTGGCAAATTCTCCAACATCCACCGACTTCTTTCCCTCCAGATAAGTTTTCATTGGGTAATATTGTATGCGTCTTCTATCTTTTGGTGGCGTCATTAAGTTTGTTGAAATTATTCTTCCGCTAAATAGCCCCCAAGAGTGTGAGTGAGGGTAATTCAAGGTGAATTTTCTAATTGCTAATCGGTGGATTTCTGTTACTTGCGCATCTAGCTTTATTATAATTTTTGTTGTTATTTTAAATTGCCCTTCTAATCTATTTTGTAACCACATGCCAAAGCAAATCAAAAACTAAGAAATCCTAGAATCTTATCTTGTGGAACATTGATTTTAAAATTGGCAAGCTTAACTAATTTTATTAAATCCCTGCAATACCTTTTATGTTTCACATCAGAACAATAACTTGAACTAGAACAAAAAGATACTGTTCGGCCTCATGCTACTGTTTAGAGTTTAACGAGGCATCTCTGCACAAGCACTGACGCACGGTGGGTTCGACGTCGGCAGGAGGCGGCGGGTTCGAAGGCGTCGGCTCAGGTGGAAGGATGGTTCGGCGGCTCGGGCGAGAGGACGACAGTTTCGGCTTTGGTGAGTCGGCCGGCGACGGTGGAAGGATGGAGGTAAGTCGTCCAACTTCCTTGCCTCGTGATTTTCTTCCGGTTCTCAGAGCTTTGTGTGCCGTGTGTCTACCGAATGAAAGGGAGTTTATTTTATTTCGTGAGTATGTCGGTGTAGGAGCGGATGTGTCGTTTGGGTTTGTCGGTGGGAAAGTCGGTGGTTTTGCCGTTACAGTCAACACCTCCAAAATTTCAAACCTTCCTCCCTACATACCTTTTCCACCAAACCTCCTTTGGAAAACCTTGATGTAAATTATTCAATCAAATTTGATTTTTGAAATCTTTCCAAATTTAGAACTCTATTTTTGGAAAGTTTTCAAATCAAATCCACATTAATCTCTAATTGGATTGGATTTAAAATTCCCCATTAATACATTCCATATTTAGCCACTTGTATTTTAGGAAAGAATTTGAATTTAAATTCAAAATGAATTTAAAATTCTAACACCTTCCTAAATAAAATCGCCTAAGTTTGGAAAGCCCCTTTAATTAGTAATCAATCACAAATCCGAGATTGATTATTCAATTAATTCAAATTCCCCCACATTCATTGCACCTAGACATCTCACCCTCTCTCTCTCTCTCCTGGCAGAAATTACCAAGGCCCCACCTCCTTTATTTCTTTCCAAAAATCAGGACTCTACCTTCAGAATTAAACCAAATCATCTCCTTCCCTCACCACAATTAAATCAATTCCTGAATTAATTCATGAGAGGAGAGAGCCTTAGGGAAAGCTTGTGATCCCTACTCCACCTACTTCCCTTCAATGAATCAGCCAAAATTTGTTTTCCCCTGAACTGAGTTACAGTCCAGGATTGGAAGCTTGTGGACCTGCTGTCCAGAGCCTGCCACACATCCAAATTTGCTGCTCCTGTTGTTTGGTTGCTGTCCAGGTCCTGTCGAAGGTCAAAACTGCTGCTGTCCTGAAGTTTTGCTTGTTGTCCCCTTATTCCAACAAGAATATCTTGCTGTCCAGCGCTCCGGAAGACCACACTTTGCTGTCCCAAGTTCCCAGCAGCCTAGAAGAGCAGTCCAACGTTTCTTGCACCTGAAAGGTTGCTGTCCAATATCTGTCCAAGACCAAACTGCTGCTGTTCAGAGAAATTCTGCATCTCTTACTGCTGTCCAGCCAGTCGGGAGATCTTCGTGTGCTGTCCTAAAGTTTCCGATTGCTGTCCACCACATCAAGAAGGGTCTTGGTTGCCGTCTACTTCATCTCAAGCACCCAAACAGCCACCAAAGCTTTGTATCTTCTATTTCTTTGGGTAAACTCTTCCTCTGACCCTTTTATCTTTGTAGTTACTTTTCAATTATGGTCTTAGTAAATTCATGAGAATAGTGTCAATACTCCTCCGCTAAAACTTAGTATTATTAGAGAGTTGAGTGAGGGATATCTCTTAGTGATTAATCTTATTGTTAGCACAGAGATTTATTGTTGAATCATTCATGTATGCAATGCTAGATTAATTGATCATTTTACGGCCTTAACTCCTATGCATGTGGTTTAGCCTAAGCTTGTGTCACCACTCTTTGTGTTTTATTTTGTCGTTTGAAATCACTAAAAAGGTATAATTATTGTGCTCTAAATATTAAACATGCAAATTCCTTAATCAAATCATCCTATCAAGTATGTTCTACATCAGTTTAAGTCAAAACACAAATGCTCATAAAAAGCCTTGTGAGTTGTTTTGAGATAATTTAATCAAATAGAAGGGAAAACACCGGAAAAGTTAAATATTTGGGTCATTGGCATTACAAAAAACTGAAAATGGAGGATGGCAAAAATTTGACTTGATGTTTGAGAATTTGACTTTTAACCGTCACAATGGCAAAAAAGGATTCATGTAGCCGACCCCACATAGTGGGACAAAGGCTTGATGTTGTTGTATATTTCTTTAAGTTCACATAAATCCTCCATTTTCATTTTTTTGTAATGCCAATGACCCAAATATTTAACTTTTCCGGTGTTTTTCCTCCTATTTGATTAAATTATCTCAAAACAACTCCCAGAGCTTTTTATGAGCATTTGTGTTGTGACTTAAACTGATGTAGAACATACATGACAGGATGATTAAATTAAGGAATTTGCACGCTTAATATTTAGAGCACAATAATTATACATTTATAATGATTTCAAATGACAAAATAAAACACAAAGAGTGGTGACACAAGCTTAGGCTAAACCATATGCATGTGAACTTAAAGAAATATACAACAGCAAAAAATAAATTATCTCGGGTTAATAGAATAACTTCATCACCACTAAAAAAGTAACCCAAAAAAAAACTTCACCACCAAGTACATTTAGTGGATCCAAATATTCCATGCACACCTTGGCTGTTTTACTAGAAGAATCTATGCTCCATAAGAAAAGATTTCCCTCATCAATGCTAATCACTTTATCGTGCCTCCCCCGTGGCCACCAAAGAATACTGTTACAGAGAATAAACAATCAGAAAGAGGATAAGAGCAGCGAAATGATCCTATGAAGCAGACACAAATAGGATGGCCTACTCGGACGATAACCATGCATGCAAACTGTTAAGAGGATAACTTGAATGCGCTAAAAGAATTACAAAACCGATTACAAAAATTCAACAAGAAGATTCAGAAATGAAAAGACTAGGCCAAGCAGGAAGAAACCCAATGTAGTTATCAGTTTGAAAAATCACAGCTGATCCTGAAACAATTAAGCCTAAACTCCAAATTATTGGGATACTTATAATAATGAAGATATGATAATTCTATTAAAAAAAATAAAATTAGCATGTCAACACATACAATTGGTTATTCATAAAACACATAACAAAGGCAAATTGGAATGGAGGGATCAGAAGTAATTACAAAATTTTTAATGTGTGCAAAGCACGCAAATAAATAAATAAATATCGGGTAGATGAGCCTACTCATGCAAGAGTCCACTACAATAACACTCAGTAATTACTTCAGCTGCAAGACAAAAAATAGCTAAGGAACTACAACCTCAAATAATGACCAAAAACATATGAGTTCAAACAACATAACAAAGACTCAATTTTCGTTTGGGACAACTTTCTTACTGTTTTCTAAAGGGCTTTTTAGTACAAAAGTTTCAAATAAAAAAAAAAGTAAAAAAAAGTTTGTTTATAAAAGAAAGCTGTCCCAAACGAGCCTCATAAAGTATGAGGGAATATATGAAGATGTCCTTAGATCCACCAAGGCAAACAGTTCATCTTTGTCAGCTTCATATTGAGATTCCTGCTCCAATTCAATTGCCACTACCTCAGAAGATATATGCTACTTCAAAGGATTATACATCATAGTTTACTTCATTCACACTTATTGTAGATCAAATTTATGCGGATGCTACCACAATCAATTAATTCACTATTTCTTCACATTGTCAATATTTTATAAGTGCATGAAGTTTGGAGCCGCCCAATACCCAAGCCTTCAAATCTATGTTCGATAGACTTATTCCTCATGTTGTTCTTCGATTTTAAGGACGCTTCTTTCATCAAATGATCCATTGATGCAATTGCATCCTTTATAAACTCCACCAAACTCCTCGAGAGAAAAGTTCTTTGTTAGCCCAATAAATTGATATAATACAAATCCACCAGTTTTATCAAGGAAAGACCAAATTTTCACGAGTCATTCAAAAAGAAATTAAATGGAACTACAAAGGAGCTGAACGAAACCAATTTATAATATTTTTAAATCAATATTTAATTATTTCAAAATATTTCATTATTTAATTTGATTTATTTTGTCCTGTTTAATTATCTTCAATGGTTTGAATCTGATGTCTAGAAAAGCATGGATAAGATTTGAATTTAAAAGTTGACCTTATCTTTGTAACCTTGTTCCTATATATAGGGATTGATGGCTTACAATTTGAATCATGAATAGAATAAATGATAAAAGAAACCTACTCTTAAGATCAAATTATCTACAGGGATAGCTCCAAATTGGGTACACTAAGTTCTTCCTCTCACCTCTCCATCACTTGCAGAGTATGCCCAACATCAAGTCTTATCTCTTAACATAACCACATCAAATCATCCAGCAATCAATTCTCCCACAACTCTGTTGGGGATGAGGAGTAAACACCACAAAGACAAAACAAGCAAGAAATTAAAAGCAGCAGAAAGTAAAGGACACCATGATTTAATGTGGAAAAACCCAAAATAGAGACATGTAGCCACACCACACCAAGAATTTCAATATGAAAATTGGGAGAAATTAGTACATATCTCTCGCTCTCTCCTTGCTTCTCTTCTCACATGCACCGTTCTAAATGTCTAACCATTCAAAATACAAGAGAAAGCCAAGTAAAATAACCCCAAGGGATGCAACCCTTCAAAAAACAAGAAAGAAAACCATCCAGTTTGTCTCACAGCACTACGACGCCAATTTGGGGCGCTACGGCGCTCAAACCTCTATCTTGATCCGTTGTGGCGCCGTATCTAGACCGCTGCGATGCTCAGTTCTCTGTTGTTCAATGCTGGGGCGCTTAGGAACATAACGCAAGGGGCGATTGGGTACACAGCATTGTAAAAAAAATGATGCAATGCACCCGAACTTAGGCAGTGGGTAAACCCCCCGCACCCCCCAGTGAGCACAAGAAACTTAAGGCCTGAGGCAACAAAACAACCCGAGTGATCAACATAATTAGATTCCACACATGAAAAAACTCCTCAGTCCTCACAAACTATGCCTCAGTTCTCCCACAAAAAATAAACATCATCTTTCCCCGCAAACTTAATCCCTATAAGATTTTGTTATGCATTGTTTATATGGTTGATCAGTGAAAGCCTTCTCTTTATATGGATAATACATGATCTCTTTTACCATTGTATTTTGTGTTCTGAACATAATCTACAAGTGGTGAATCAACCCGGCTTATAAACTTTTCCGACAATTTGCTGGTAGAACTCTTTTATATAACTCGGATATGTTATAGATCTTAGATCTTTCTAATGCATCTACATGCTTCTTACTATAAACTTTAGTAGATCTTGTTTTAAGTAGTAGTTAGAATATACTCAAAACAAAACAAAAAATGCGTTGGTAGAATACTTGATGCATTTGTTTTTTTTTTTTTTCCTTTATTTTTTAGAAGTTCTAGGGAATAATGGTTTTCTGGCTTTTCATAGCACAAATAGTAGGCTTGAACCAAACATGTGAAATCAACTTCAAGTTATGATCAACAACCAAACAGCATGTCTACCAAACAAAAAAAATAACTTCACAATAGCAACTTTCACCACAGCTTCTCCAACAATTGCTTGTCTCCAAAATTTTCAGACAACAGCAGCCTTAATAAAAATTTCTTAGTAAAAATTATGTAGCTTTTGAGGATTGTTACTTTGTTTAGCAAATGAGGGGAGAGGAACAAGGCTTTTCTAGTTCAATACATGTTCTTTCAGATTAATGGCACTTCATGCGACTGCTTGCTGCATATGGACTGAATAAAATATAGATGGAGAGAAATGTACATGAACAAGAAAGACCATCACATAAGGGAAAAAGGAGTATTTCACGGTGGGCATATCGATAGCATGGATTAGAGCACGGGATTTGAGTCAACAAACAAGACAGCATTGTATTAATGCCCATAAACTTACAAAAAATGACCAGCTTATTTTCTAACTTTTTTCCTTCATTGGTGGAATGCATACAACTAGAATTTAAATCGCCCTTTGTAGCATGCATCGAAGAGAAAGAATACTGATGTGTCATCGTTATTTAAACAAAGCCCAATCAAATACCACAATATTTTATGAACTAAGCATAAAGAAGCTGATAGATAAGCTGTACCATACATGGAAAATTTTGTCATTATGTGAAATTAAATAAAATGTACCATTTGAGCTTCGATGCATGCTCCTTGAGAGAAACAAGTTCCTCTAGTTGTGGGGCATTTGATTGACCGTACAATTCTGGGATCTCCCAAATAGATGCGCCGTATGTTTCACCTAAAACCAAGAAAGTTCAGAGTACTGTGGATTGCAAACTGAATGTGCAAACAGTGTTTTAGATGATAAAATTTAAAGAGAAAAATCACTTTAATGGCCTCATATAGCCTGTAAATCATTTTGGAAACACCACCGAGCCCTTATAAATTAATTCTAAGAAGCTTGTTTCTAATAAAAATCTTTTAGCACGGAACAGTTTATGATGTGAAACAAACATATGGCAAGAGTTGCTTAGGTTTTAACAATAAATATTGAACATGAACTTTGCTATTTAAGAACTTATGCTTCACTCAATTCAAACTCGTAGAATTTTCAATAAGAGATTAAGTAATGACAAAAGTTACAAGTAGGATGACAGGACAATCTCAATAACTACGAAATAAAATAATAATGCTAATAGCAAGTAACAAGAATCCACAACGTAACATCAAGATATGGTCACTTAGAGTTCCTTCTCACTCAATCACTCTTAGACTTTAGCGGAGGAGGACGAAGCACACGATGAGAGAGATTACCACTAGGAAGATGACGCCAAGGATCTTTGTCGGTGGATAGGTATCCGACGGTGGAGGAAGTTGTGGATGGCCAACGATTATCCAACGACCTGGTGGAATGTGCTCTTCAATCGATAATGTCAGTTGGTACAAGATGCGGGGGGGGGTGCGCCGGCAAAAGGGGAAGGGGGCGACTAGGCGTCGGGTTGGTGGGCTAGGTCAGAGGGTGGGCTTGAGGTGGTGGAGCTAGAGGATGAATTGGGTGGAGGAGGTTAAGCAACCGGTGGTGGGGAGGTAGGAAGGGGCCGGCAAGTGACTTGGGGAAAGGAAGACGAAAGAACACACAATTAAGATAGAAATAAACTAACCACGAGCCGTGGACTCTTCCAACGACTGGTGGGCCTTGCACTTGCTCACCTTAAGCTCTCTCTCTCTCCCTTCTCTAGTGATCACCCAAGAAGAAGCAGAAGCAAAAGAAAATTTTCATTCAAATATTCATCATCCTGCTACAACACATAGGGACACTATATATAGGCCTCTAACATGAAAAAGTAAAAGTACAAACTTGCCCTCCGAGCTACAATGACAAGATACTCCTCATAGCAGTAAAATTGGAAAACAACAAAACAAAATAAAACATAATGTGTCAAAAGTAAAGACATTGAATCATAGCTGTCGATCTACGATTCCGTCGCCGGTACACGTGTCTGAATCTCTAAGCGATGTCCTCATCAGTTTAGATAATATAGAAAAAACAACAATGGATGAAAAATAACCAATATAGAAGAACAGAGCGCATAGAACATGAGCTACATAATGTTTTGGAAGGCATGAAATTGGCAATCAAGGAACTATTACAGTCATGCATAAGGAAACAATGCTCTAGTAATTAAGCCAGAGACTGATTTGAAAACAAGCACTTTGCACAATGGCAAGAAAGACTTCAAATAGATTGAAAAGGATCAATAAGTTTAATGAAGTTAAATTGAGTTAGTAGATTCTAGTGGGCCTTAGTAGTTTATAGATAAATAGCGAGTCTTAAGGGCTTAATAGGTAGATAATGTGTCCTTAAGAGTCTTTGTAATGCTATAAATATTCTCCTTTTGAGAATAGTAGTGTATGAATAAAAAATGAACTAATCCCTTTGCATATGATTCTCCCTTTCCCCTAATCTCACATATTTTGGAGTTGTCATTTCTATCAAATCGTCACTTATCCCTCTTCCTCTCGAAGTTGTAACAATTGGTGTTCTCACGGGGCCTCAAACGCCGCCGCCACCAATTGCTCCACCATCCTTGACATCACCAACCTCTAACACATCCGGCCCTGACCCAAATCACATGATTAGCCAAGAGATCCACATCCATTGATGCTTATCATCGATCCCTAACCATTGAGGCATTGCGAGCAGAGATAATAAATCTATCACCTCTAACAATTATTTCAAGATCCCACCTTAAACTCCATCAGACCTATAATCAAATCTCCTCATAGACTCATCCAATAGCATTCCAAGATCTACCATCGCATCTAGATCTACCTCCACCAATCCATCAACTGACACCCCTTCCTGACTTGACTCCTAATCCATCAAGGCTTCCATCGCCAGTCACTTAGCTCCATATGCAAGCCCTCATCGTCCCACATTTATGACTTCAAAATCTCTATCAATAAATTCAAATCTCAACTCAACTCTTCACTGTTGAATTCAGCTACAACGCCTTTATCCAAAATTTATTATTCTTATAGCAACGCAAGCAACCCCCAACTCACACACTATCACAATGCTTGGAACACAACTAGTTGGTATTCACTTTGCAAAATTATATAGGCTCTACATGCGCATCACCATATAAAACACAACCTCTTGCACAAAATCAGCTGATTTATTCCCCAAAAAATTGTCAAACAGTGAAATGTTTTCGTCGTATGGAATTTCCATATCTCAACGTACTCCTAGTGCAGCAACATACAACATGTCGCAAAGGTTTTTGACAAAATGCCGCTTTTTAACAACAACTAATGACATAGGTAGAGCATTTAAGGTACTAGAACACCTCAAGAACATCAAACAAAAACTTAGTCAATTTTTGGAGATTATAAGCGACATCAATCAGATATTAACTGGGCTTGAAATAAATAATGAGCAAAAGTTGACTCCATCATCCTAAGAAGAGCCCCCATAACTTCGTGATATTATCAAGATCTAGGGCGTATCATACAGTTTTTCTTTTTTATTTTGGATGAAAATGGCTGGAGTTTTATGAAGAACTGGACCCTTACCAAAATGCAAGCAATTCTCAAGCTTGTTGTTTGATTGAAAAAGAAATCAAAGCATCTCTTCCTAATACACTAAAATGGCTATTGCCGGTAATTGTTTAAAATGTTCATGCCATGGACAAGGTGACTACAATTGCATCAAAGTCATTGCAAGACAAAGCAACAAGTGGTGGAATAGTCACCACCTTTATTGTCACAGATGATCATCGAAATGAAAACTGGTATATGGTCCGCCACCTTCTGCAGGTTTGCTAACATCCCTGCTGACATTTCATATCTCAGAAATCTTGTATGGGTTTCTTACTTCAATCTACTATGTCTTGTTATGTGATTCAATCTTGAGGGCAAGGTTGATTTTGAATGGGTGTATAATGATGAAAGTCAATAAGCATGAATATACTTCTTAGATTAAGTTAGTTTATTTTAGTGGGTCTCATAGTTTATACATAAATATTGAGTATTAAATGCATAATAAGTAGACGATGTGTCCTTAAGAGTCTTTGTTATGCTATAAACACTTCATTTTTTTGGGCAAATGGAACTAATCCAGTTACTTGTTTTTCTCCCCTTTCCCCTTCTCAATCTCCCATATTATGGAGTTGACGCCACACTCGAACTACCATTAATCTCTCTTCCTCTGAGAGTAGTAACATAGATCCACTAATTAGATTGATGCTCACCAATCAAAATCCACTTACCAACTAAAACCAGTGCTGCACTAGTACCATAAGAAAACATTGATCATATCCATTGATACCTTAATAAATTCCCTTAAAATAAAGTAAAACAGGTTGAAGCCGCAGGCTTTACCAGAAGTGAAGACCGTGGAGAAAATCCTCGAGTCAAAGGGACAAGACTTGAGATCCCAAATCTCGCTAGGGTGGTAGAATAATCCCTCGCAGACGAGCTCCGTTCCATAGGGAGAAAGTCGGATGAAATGCACCTAAAATTCAATATGTTTCTTGAGCGATTCTGCTCTGGGGAATATAATTAGAAAAAGAACTCACCTCATTTTCTTCTTTGAGGGTTACGGTTCCAGCAAGGAAACTTGTATTGTCAGTATCGGCGCTCACGTCGGCGATGCATCTAGCCTGGATATAGGAAGCAAATTTTAAAATTTTCAGTAACGAAAGGTAAGGGAGGCGGATGATTGGAGATCGAGAGCTCAAATTGCGACTTCGAAGGGAAGAAGGGGGGTTTTGCTACCTGGTATTTGAGCCCTCCATAGACAATACCGCCCTGCATTTTTGTTCCCGCCCTAGCTGACGACCTCTGCAGAGCTTCCTTTGGAGCACCGTCCGGTTGTATAATTTTATGCGGCCATATTTGCGGGTTTTATTAGCAAGTTAACTTATATTATTAATCTATTAAAAATTTAACCGTTTGAGGGTTAAAAAAATGAATGCAAACCCGTTTATTAATGTATTTACCTTTTAGTAGTTAGTTTATTTTTTATTTATTTAAAAATCATTCAATCGAACAAATTTTTTTTATATAGCGTGTAACTTTTCTAATCTCTTATTAAATCGCCTCCAATCACCACAACGTGATGCCCTTCACCTAACCCTATCAGAATCACCTATCTATCATCGCCCAATACACACCACTCACCACTAGTTGTGGATTGCCCTCAACCCCTTGAAAATTTTAAATTTGTTGCGGACTAGAATATATGCAGTGATAGAGTTAAAATACTACGTTGCACGAATATCCAGCTCACACACATATAACACAAGATTTTTATGTGGAAAGCCTTGGAAAAAGGGAAAAACCACAAGGCCTGCCCCAGTTGAAAATGATTCCACTAGAACTTGAGTTGGTTACAATAGGTTGACTCGCCTCCAAGGGCGATCATATTACAAATAATAACTATATGACAGAAGTCCGGGTGTCAGGTGATGGTCTGGCAGAACTTCAAGCTTCAGGTGGTGGTATGGCAGAACTCTGGGCATTAGGTGGTGGTCCGGTGAAGGTGAGGGGCCTCAGGTGGTGGTCCAGGGAAAGTGAGGGCCTCAGGTGGTGGTCCGACGAAGGCGAGGGCCTCAGATGGTGGTTCGGCGAAGGCAAGGGCCTTAGGTGGTGGTTCGGCGAAGCAACGACGTCAGGCGGTAGAGTTAAAATACTACGTCTTAGCATTACACGAATATCCAGCTCACACATAGATAACACAATATTTTTATGTGGAAAGCCCTAACAAAAGGGGAAAACCATGGGGCCTGACACAGTTGAAAATGGTTCAACTAGAACTTGAGTTGATTACAATAGGCTGGCTCGCTCAAAGGGCGATCAGATTACAAATAATAAATGTACGACAGAAGTCCGGGTGCTAGGTGATGGTCCGACAGAACTTCGGGCTTCAGGTGGTGGTCTGGCAGAACTCCGTGTCTTAGGTGATGGTCTGGTGAAGACGAGGGCCTCAGGTGGTGGTCCAGCGAAGGTGAGGGCCTCAGGTGGTGGTCCGACGAAGGCGAGGGCCTCACGTAGTGGTCTAGTGAAGCCGAGGGCCTCAGGTGGTGGTTCGGCGAAAGTGAGGGCCTCAGGTGGTGGTCCGGTGAAGGAGAGGGCCTCGAGTGGTGGTCCGGCGAAGGCAAAGGCCTCAAGTGGTGGTCCAGCGAAGAAGAGGGCCTTGGGTGGTGGTCGAGGAGGAGCTTCTTCATTCTCTTCTCTTCTTATCTTCTTGCTTGTGTCCTCTTTTAAGAAAAATGATGGGTCTATTTATAAATTTATGGAGTGGCATGACCCGTAAATAGTGAGAGATCAAGGATAAATGGGGAGTGATTTGATGGACGGTCGATGTTGAATCCCTTGATCAAAGATTGTTTGATGGACATTTGAATGTCTAAGTGATGTCGGATTTTGGTGATCTTGGACTCGTTGGATTCCTCTCGTCAAGCCATTCGATTCGACTATAAGAATGTTATGTTTGGAAACCGTTTAGTAATCCAAATTGTGGTTCAAACCTTCCAACAACGCTTCTAATCCTTGATTTGGACCCGTTTGGGCTCGAATTGGGTTGAATTTAGTGTCGTTGGGTTCATATTCTCAAGACGCTCAATTCGACTATAAGTTTGCTGAAATTGGAGTTCAGATGGTCCCATTTTAATTTTTGAAGCTTTCAACTTGATTTTTCTTCGAGATTCGTGCCCGATCAAGATAATTTTTTGATGATATTACAATATTCAAAAAAATAAAATAAGAGTTCGCCTTTTAGCGATCCTAAAGCTAAAATTTAAGCTTGAAAAGTCATCTTCTATCATAGCACTATGCTTTTCTTTTGTAAAAAATAGTTTTAGAAATAATGATTAAAAGAATGGAGTTTTCTAATGGAAAAGCAAATATAAAAAGTTTCTCAAAACAGTAGAAAAATGAAGTTCCTAAAAAGCATTTCTATAGAAACGTCACACCCAAACAGCGACAAAAAAATAATTTTTATGTTTCTAGACAGAAAAGAAAAAAAACACTAAAGGCCTCAATAACTTAATCATATTTAATATATTTCAGCAGTTTAAAAAGCTACCATAAATCCTAGCTAATTCACCTATTTCACCCAGTCCAACATCTCCTCCCAAAAATCCTGAAATCGCTATCTGAGTTCCCCTTCTTTGTCAACGATGTCGACGAGCATTGGAGTCTCCTTTTTCCCTAAAATCACAAAATTCCTAGCTAAGCTTCCTTTGTCTGCCAACGCTATTGATGTGCCTTCGAATTCCCTTTTCATGGAGAGATTATTCTCTGTGGACATCAGACGGGAAAATTGTCTGGTTTATGCTTAGGTACCTAACGGTGTCGAGGCGCGGTAACATTTGGTACTAAGCTCGGTACCAGACATGACACATTTTATTGAGATCTGGACTCCGCACAGAATAATTTTTCCCTTCCATGACTCATTATTATCATCCTGTCTTGTTTTGTATCTCAAAATAAGTTGTTGAAAGCTAAGAGGGTTAGCATTTGCTAATCATAAGTGTTGCATGCTAGAAAATACGCGGCGATAGAGTTTGTAAATTCACGTCCGAGCGTTGTACGGAGATTCAGCACACAAATAGAAAAGAGAATGAACACCAGAGTTTTTACGTGGAAAACCCAAAAAGGGAAAAAATCACGGGGCCTCGCCCAGCTAAAAATTTCAACTAGTATTTTTGTAAATTACAAGAAACTGATTCGTCCCACAAATCGGGACGATCAGATTATAACTTAAAGCAAAATTACAAAGTTTTGCAGAATTCCGTCGTTTCCCGAAAATCCGGCAGAGTTCCGGCGTATTCAGGCGGCGGGAAGAGCTCCGACGGTGGTCGAGGAGGAGAGGATTCACCTTTTTCCCCTTTCTCTTCTTATTCTCTCTCTTCACTTGAGTTCCCTTTGTGAAGAATGATAACTCTATTTATAGTTTTTCTGGAGTGGCATGAGATCATGGGCGAATAGGGAGTGGTTTGAATGGACGGCCGATATTGAACCATTCGATCGTGCACCGTTCGTTGGACATTTTGAGGCCTTAATGATGTCGGAATTTGGCGATCTTGGGCTCGTTGGATTCATCTCGTCGAGTCGCTCGATTCGAGTATAAGGTCATTAAAATCGTAGACCGTTTGGTAACTAAAATTACGGTTTGAACCTTCCAACAGCGCTTCGGGTCCTTGATTCGGACTCATTTGGGCTCGGATTGGGTTGAACTTGGTGTCGTTGGGTTCGTATTTCCAAGACGCTCAGTTTGGCTGAAATCGGAGTTCGGGTGCTTCCGGATTTAATTTTTGAAGTTTTCGGGTTGGGTTTTGCATCGAGATTCATGCCCAATCAAGATAATTTCATTATAACGTATGAATAAGAATAATAAGTTGGCCAATTTTGCTTAAGTGCTGAATTTGCAAATCATATTTCATGAATATAGATTTGTAGTAGCTACGTACGCTATCAATATAGGAAAAAAATAGGGCTTTTTCCACAGTTATTTAATAAAACAATAAGGTTTCGTTTCGGGCGGCTTTCTTATCGCTTGCTAAAATAAAATTTTAGTACAAAAATTTTAATTGATGTATTAAAAAACTGCTTTTATAAGCAGTAAGAAAGCCGTCCCAAGTCATACCTAAGCATCATGTCAAAAAAAAGGACTGATGACATAACGGTGGTATTAATTAATAGCGAAGTTTGCAAATATTTTTCATTGGTGAATCCTATACTACCATCAAATGGCATGTATTAATCCCTTTCATAAAAGTGTTTGATTTGAGTTCAATTAGAGTAGGATTGCATCACTTTGAAGTTGTTAGTTCATCCCATCAAGATGATAATAAATTTTTTGAAATTAGAGTTCAAGCAGGGAGGACTCACAAAATTTTATTAGTGGAGGCATAATTTGATAAATTTTAAATTACTCTTAATAAATTTCGAATGATTTTTTGACTTTCTATTTATTAGTTCATATTGAAGTAATACTTTACAAATAAAAATATTAATATTTATTTTAAAATTTTAATATTTCATATATATCTCATCTCTAGACAACTTTAATATCAAATATATCACATATATATGAAATGGTTTTGAAAATCAGACCTGATCGGCTGATTCGACCGGTTCAACCGTGAGCTGGTCTTAGGACCGGTTCGGTCCTTCTAAAAAACCAGTCTAGCATCAAATCAGTTAGACCTGATCTGCTGGTTTGACTGTTGAACCGATCCGATTCTTAAAAACAAACAGGTAAAATATATTATATATTTAAATAATTTAATTTAATATATAAATATTTTATTAAATAATATTATTCTAAAAATTTGAACCGGCCGGTTTTAAAAAATTGGGACCGGTTCGCCGGTTTACCGGCGGTTCTTCTCAAAACTGTCTGGTTCAATGCAATGCCGGTTTTCAGACTGGACCGGACTAGCCCTCAAACTTCAAAAAAAAAAAAAAAGAGTTCGCCTTTTAGTGATCCTAAAGCTAAAAATTAAGCTCGAATATTTATATTTATATATACAATTAGTAATTATTTATATTTAAATATATAATATAATTATAATAGTTATTTATATTTAACTTTAAAATTCTGTAATATATTATATATGACTATATGTATAAATTTTATTTATTTTTTAGTCTAAAAATTCTTAAAATTATGACTCATTGTTATGCTAATTTTATTAAATTTTAATGATAATATTATTTATTATATCATCTAGTTCAATCCCAATTCAACCGGTCAAGCAGTAAATGTATCATTCTTTTTGTTCTTTATTTTCACCAACTTATCCAAAATGCAAATTATCATTATTTTATTTAAAAGATAAATGTTATTTTAATTTAATGCATTACGTAGCATCGCCGGAATGGTTGAACTCTTAAATAAGAGCAATATTTTAATCTTTTTTTACATAAATAAATAATATTAAAAAGAGAATAACTGTGATAGATTAAAAGAAGCTTCACCGTTGAGAAACGTTTGGCCAGCAGAAGCAGAACAAACTTTCCCGCGTCGAACAATAATAGAAGCCAATTACGGGACGAGATCGAAAAGAAGAAAAGCGACACACACACAAACAGAAGCTCCGTAAAATCGAAGAAAATGCTGGCGGAGACTGTAAAATACCTGCTGGGCTCCGCCGGGCCGAGCGGCTTCGGCTCCACCTCCACCGCCGTTGACGTCACCGCCGCCGCCAACCATCTCGGCGCCATCACCGCAATTATCACTGGTATTCCCACCCCATCTTCCTATTTCGCACCTTCCGATTGATTATGGATGGTGATTATTTCTGCTTTGTCAGGCGCCACGTCGGGGATCGGCTTCGAGACGGCTCGGGCCTTAGCAGCGCGCGGCGCGCGGCTAATTCTGCCGGCAAGAAACCCTGACGCCGCCGAGGAGGTCAAATCTCGCATCGCCGGCGGCGGCCAAATCATTATCCTTCCTCTCGACCTCGGCTCGCTCTCGTCCATCCGATCCTTCGTGAGCCAATTCCTCGCCCTTGGATTCCCTCTAAACATCCTAATGTAATATTGCTGTAATTAATCAATTAATTCGTCGCCGGCAATTGCTTGATTAATTTTATTTGCTGAGTAAAATCGAGCAGAAATAACGCGGGGAGATTTGCGTACGATCAAGCGGAGTCCGAGGACGGGATTGAGCTCACCTTCGCCATTAATTTTCTCGGTGAGTAGATAGAACAGGATATGCAAACAATTTTGTTCTTTGCCCCTCATTTTTGGGAAATTGATCAAACAATCTGAAAAATATTATTAGGGCCTTTTTTGCTGACGAAGCTTCTGCTGGAGAAAATGGTGGTATCGGCGAGAGAAACGGGAATTGAAGGCCGCATCGTGAACGTTAGCTCATTCTGCCATCGTTGGTTCTCCGGCGACCCTCTCGCTTACCTCCGCCTTCTCGCCGCCGGCGAAGTGTGAGCTAATTCATTGAATCAATCAACAACTTAATAATTGCAAAACTCTGTAATATTCTAGGCAATTTTTTAATCTAGTCATAAGAAATTTCTGATATTAATGAGATAATTATTAGTAATTTGTAAAAAAAAAAAAGGAAAATCCTATGGAAGCAAAATAGGATTAATAATTATAAAAATATTATATTTATATTAAAAAAATTAAAAATTTCAAAATTCATATTATGAGCTTTTTATTAGTAATTAAATTTAAAGTTCAGATATTTGATATTTCAATATTTTTAAATTTATAAAATATTTATTTGAAATGACAATTGGGATACGGGTGCAGACGTTACAATGCGGCCAGAGCGTACGGACTGTCCAAATTGGCTCTGGTGATGCACACCAAAGAGCTCGCAAGGAGGCTCGAGGTCTCTTTTTGTTTTTTTGTTTTTTTTTTTAATTAAAAATAATTCTTCACCGTAAATTATAAAAGATAAATTTATTTACTTTTTTTTTTAATCCTGGAGGAAGAAAATGGGTGTGAACGTAACAGTCAACAGCGTAGATCCTGGTATAACGCGTACGCGACTCAATCGTGACCGTGAAGGCTTTGTGTTAGGTGATGATACGCTCCCTCCTCTTTTTCCATTCATTTACGCAGCTTCTCAAAAAAAAAAACCACAAACCGTCTGATTCTTCGTGGAAGCAGATATGATGTTCTTCTTTGCGTCAAAATTCGTGAAAACCATCAATCAGGTAATCAATCAACTTCCCACCGTTGAGTTTAGGCTTCGTTTGATCTTGTTATGGCATGCATTTCAGGCGGCGGCGACGACGTGCTATGTGGCGGTGCATCCGGCGGTGGCTGGTGCGAGCGGGAAATACTATGCGGATTGCAACGAGTCAGCGGCGGCGAAGTCGGCGGCGAGTAGCGAGGTGGCGGCGCAGCTGTGGATCGAAGCGGAGGCGATGATAGCGGATGCGGATCTTGATGGTTCGGAGGCGGATCAGGCGGGGAAGCAGTGATGGGACAAGACCAGAGACAAGAAGGAAGCATAGGTCTTTCTGTGTAGGTGAGAGAGAGAGAAGATACATCTGTTGCTCCTTTTCAACGCGGTGGCAGAGCTTTGGGAGTAATAAGGCAGGCGCTAGCAGGCTTTTTGTTGGGAGATAATCCGGCAACGAAGGAAAGTAGGCAGGCCATGGAGTTAATACTGCCTATTCCTAAATGACTAGGCGTCTGCAACTTGTTGGCACATATATTATGAAGATATAATATCATATAAAGTGTTTTTTTTTTTAAATGAGTAAAGCATGGGAAGTTTATTTTGTTATTTATATTTGTTAAACACAATAATATTTTCATATTTTGTCTATGATATCTATAATTATTTCTACATAAAATTTCATTTATTTAAAATCATGATATATTTAGCCCTTAAAATTTTTCTTGATACAATCAAATTATAAAGAAATTTATAATTTATTGAGAGTGGGAGCTAATTTTATCTTCCTCTTTTTTGAATAAAAATGCTTTAACGTTATTTTTTGAGAATGGATAAAGATTTGAATTTTCACCAAAATGCTTCAAAATTAATATGAATGTTTTAATTAGATATCATTACTGTTGCATGGGAGTTGTGTAATATATAGTTTTCTTTTAAGATATAAATTCAGCATTATTGTATGAGGAATTAAGGAATATATAATTATGTTATATTAATTAATTGTAATTAATGATTTAATTTGGAACATTATCATGATTGTTAGATTTTAAGAAAGCTATATTTAATCAAAATAGATAGCAATTTTGCCTTTTGTTTGCAAGCTCCAAAAGATCATTTTCTATATGGCCTCAAGCAAGCTGTATGTGCATTACACAATGAGCTCAAAGGCTAGCTTTTCTACTTTTAAGTATCTAACATGATCAAATTTGTTTTAATCCATAGGAGTACTATCTTGCTGGGGCATATCAATCAAGTCCAAACCGATCTCCAGGTCCGCTCAGCACTCAGCTGGTTGCAAAATTTTTTGTACAGATACGGATGTCGTCCGGAGGTAAAGCAGAACATGACACTTCACCCGTTATTGTGTATTGCGGCTATGTACCAGGTGACATGGTGCATTCTAATCTGACTCCGGACGGTCCAGTGTCTGCAGAGAATAATTTTCCCTACCTGTTCACAGCAAAACTATTTGAAATAAATTTGAACAACAATCTTAATTGGTCAAGAGCTCTGCAACAGCCTTTTAGATCTCCTGTAACGCACTGCTTTGAAATAGGAATATCAATAACAAACTGCTTTGTAAGAAGGAATCTATACATGAAAGCAATAGTTACATCTGTAAATTACAAAATTCATTATTAAGAACAAACAAGCTTTCTGTATCTCTGCACATTTCATGTTAAATTTTTGTATGATTCTAAAATAAATTCAAATATTTGCAAACTATTTACTTCTCATGAAATACAGTAATTTGCAAAATAAAAAAGTATTGAATAAAGTGGTACTTGATGTCTATATCTTTTAAGTTTGACTTAAAAGATGTTACAATAGATGCCAAGGCTGGATGGGGACGAATCAATAAGCTTTGGTCAAAATCAAAGAAAAAAGTGCATTTATTTGTATGGGTACCCATTATTTATTTCATGGTTTAAAGGTCTGAGTATTGGCTTTGGTTTGATGAAAGTGTTGGGTTGCTTTATTGATACCCAAATTTGGATATTCAAAGTTTTTCTTTGCTAAATTGAAATTTTTCATAAGAAAAAGCATGTCCAATTAATCATTTTATGCAGTACTGATTGGGTTTTCGTGTAAAAAATATTTAAATCTATGATTCAAAGAAGTTCAGTTATGACAAAATTGAATTGATGGATTTAAAAAAAATTTGTTGGTTTAATTTGATTTTAAAATGGAGCAAAGTAGATAAAGAAGGCAAGAAAATGGGCTTTTTCACTAATTTAGATTTTGTTTGGGATGATTTTCTTTCTGTTTTAAGAAGCAGTAAAAAAGCCGTTTCGAACGAAATCTAAACCGACTAATAGAAAGCACATCAATTATCATAACAAAGGTTCAAAGCGCAGATCTGAAGGCTTCAGATAAATTCAAAGGTCTTTTTTGGTTTAGCATCAGTCTTCTTTAGGTATATAACAATTATCATATTCCATACTCAGCTTTGCAGCTGTATTTTGTTCATTTTCATATACCTTCTGAACAAAACCATTTATATAACAGGTTAGATATCGATCTGCTTGGGAGTAATTTTATGAGTGAGCACCGTCACACTTCGTCAAACAAATCTTAAGGAAACTTGAACATATTTTATGTAGATTGTCCAAATCAAACATGGAAGAAGATTAAGAATTAGTAGCTCATAGTTCTAATAAATAGTCACAGCTGTTTCTAATTATCATTTTTAAAGGGACTCTTTAATCCCAGCTTCAAGCAAAACACGTCGCATTTCATGTTAAACAGTTGGGCACCCATCAATGGCGTTTGAGGCAGATGAAGGTCATTTTCCTTGTAAGGCCCTCCTTCTTATCCCCACAGCAGCAACATCAGAAACAGCTTAAACAAGCTAACAAACTCTCTCAAGTTCCACTTGATCATACTCTCTCTCTCTCTCTCTCTCTCTCTCTCTCTCTCTCTCTCTCTCTCTCTCTCTCTCTCTCTCTCTCTCGATCTCTCTCTCTCTCGATCTCTCAATATATAACTCCCTATCAAAATCGATATCCAACCTCACTTCTTCTCTTCTCCGAGAGATGTGTTGGGATACTGCGTATGCTATGCTTTCCGAGGCCATACTAACATAGCGTCTTCTCTTCTCTTTTCCTTCTTCTCTTTTCAGTACCTGTCTTCTCCTCCACCGCTCTCGCATGCAGCCACCATTAGGGCTGCAAGCGAACAAAACGTTCGGCGAGCTACTCGTTGTTCGGTTCGATTAAAGCTAGTTTGAGATCGTTTAATTAACTAAACAAACAAACTTGAATAATATTTTAAATACTCGATTCTTAAATAAACAAACTTGAACACTAATGTGTTTGGCTCATTTATGTTCACGAACAACATCATTTGAAGTTCGTGAACAAGCACGACATTAAGCTCGATAAGAAGCTCAATAAAAGCTCGATTCATGTTCGATTTTGAACTCGTGAATAAGCTCGATAAAAATAATTAATATTTGACTATAGAATAAATAAATATAAATAAACATTATCTTTGTTGCATAGACAATTGTTTTTATTATAAATGTATTTGTTCATAGATATGTTCATGAACATGTTTGTTTGATAGTTAAAAAAATTTGTTAAATATGTTCGCGAACAAGCTCGATAAACATTAAAAACGAACGAACATGAACAGAACATGAACCAAACATGAACACTCCTTAATTTAAATGAACCAAACATGAACACAAACGCTAAAGCTCGAACAAACATGGACCAAACTTGAACAAGCTGATATTAAATAAACACAAACATGAACACTGACATACTCGGCTCGGCTCGGTTCGTTTGCAGCCCTAGCCACCATACCTGAAACTTCATTTCAACACTTTAATAAACCTGTAATTAATTTTTTACTATTTTAACTAATCATTTATATATGTCATTTGTATTCATAAATTCATTGTATACCTTGGCAACGAGCTACACCCATAAACTTTATTCAGGGGGGTCTAGATTAATTTTTTAAAATTTTACCTTAACTTTTTTCGTCTGGATTTGGGGCTGGCATAGGTAGTTTTATTTTTATTTTTTTTCAAATTATTATTTAAGAATGTTGAAAATTAAATATATGTTAATAAACAACTTACAATTTATAATGTATAGTTTTCATATTTTGAAAGAGTTGAATGATTACTTCATTATCAATACAATCTTTTTTTTTTCAATATAAGCGACTAACATATCATTCAGCCATTGATCTCTAACTCTATTTCGCATCCAAATTTTTATAATATTCATGGTAGAGAATGCTCTTTCGACGACTGTTGTTGGAACGAGTAATATTAATGCCAATCCAATAATCTAAAAATAAGATTATATATACGTAATATCTTTCATACTTTGAATCATTTTTCCAATAAGGCTTTATATATCTTTTAATGAAGATGATTGATCATCATATCACATATTTATAATATAAGTGTCAAACTCATATTCAAGAATTATCATATTAAAAATAATAAAATTAGTTGAATAAAACTATGTCATTAATTTTAATCAACTTGTCATTGTTGCATGCATAAAATTTATTATTATGATTCAAACAGATAATAGACAAAAGTACCTTAATATTTTCTCCTATAAAATGATTGTTTAACTCTTGAAGTTGCATATCAATAACTGTATAAAAGATTTCAAAGCCGACCACGAGCAAACCATTTATCATTAATATATGAAACATTTATTTTTTTGTTTCTTAAAAAATGAAGTTACTTTACTAATGAATTTTGCCCACTTACTATCTCTCATATATTGCAGTCTCATTTTATAAATACGAATAAAAGATATAGCATTTATAATATCTTATTCTCCCCTTTGTAAATTTTGTGATAGTTCAATAGTGATACAAATTACATTTTTCATGAGATATAGACAAAAAGAAAATTTAAAGGTTTGTAATGATTCAATATTGCATATGTCTCACATCTTTATTATGAGCTTAAATCATCTTCCAAAATAATTTCAAAAATATTAATTACTGTAGAGAACATTATGATCAACCTAATAAATGATTCATAATGCAAACCCCATCTTGTATCACTTGCATGCCTAAGCATTATTTCTTAGTTTAAGCCTTACCCAATTATTAGTTCTCCACTTTATAATTCATTTAATACATTCTCTCGTTGTAGCTCTTGAAGATGATTACAATGTCGCTTATAAGAAAAATCAATAATATTCATCACACTTGAAATTATTGTAAATAATAAAGCAATATGAATATGATTTTTTGCAATTACTATTAATGTTAACTAAAGTTGATGTAAGAAATAATGAATAAAATGTATTAATTTATTTTCATTCAGGAATAAAAACTTTAGACCATTAAAATCCCCTCTCATATTACTAGCATCGTCATAACCTTGATCCCATATTTTGGAAATGCTCAAATCATAAGTTGAAAGGAGTTGTTCAATTGCTATTTTGAGAGTACTTGCAGATGTATATTGCACATGAGCATTCTCTAAAAACATTTAATTATCTGACCTTTCTTATTAACAAAACATATAACAGTTGTTATTCGATTTTTTCCGATTTGTCATGTGATTCATTAACTAAAATAGCAAAAAACTTATCATCAATCTCCTTATATATGAACTTATT